CATCCACCCATCCACCCAACTCTGTTTCTCCGTCACTATTTGATTAGACATATAGAAACAAAGTACAAAACCCTAAAATAAGATTAGTACACTTTAAAAAGGAAAACACCTGCTCCTGCAGGCAGGTGGGGGGGGATCCAGGAAAAAAATAATCTCTCCTTTTTCAAATTCTCTGCACCTCTTGGCCCTTCCCCCCCCCCCCTTCAGTCGCTGCCAGTGAATATTCAGCAGAAGGACGACCAGTTCCTCATTAGATTTGTGGGAAATTGTTGTGAGCGTAATGACTTCTATGACCCAAAGTAGAACATTTCTAACCTGCCCTCTTTCTTTTGGAATTAATCAGCCTCACTGCTCTCTCCCCCACCCCTCCCAATTCTCTCCCCAACCTCAAACACTCCCCCCCCTTTTTTTTTTTTTACAAAAAACCCCACAGTTTGACCTCCTGGAATGGCTGCAGGGTTCAAAACCTGCCCTGTCGGAGCGTGGCCAGCTTTTGGAGTCCATCCATGTGGGCCTCAAGACCTGTGGCTTTGAGCCCGAGAAGGACGGCTTAATGCCTTTTTCCATCTTCTGCAAACACTGGGTTTGTCTCCTCCAGTACCAGTTCCCTGACCACTACAGCAGTTTTCTGAGGCTCCTCCTTCAAAGTAAGTACCATCTCGACTTTTACGGCTCGTCTTCAGCGACTAAGAACGGGAAAAAAGTCTTGATGATGGATTATTCCGGTGTGTTTCTCAACCTGGGCAACTTTAAGACATATGGACTTCAACTGGGGAACTCTGGGAGTTGAAGTCCACAAATCTTAAAAGTTGCCCAGGTTGACGGAAACTGTGCTGGACTAGAAGACCTCCAAGGTCCCTTCCAGCTTCTATTCTATTCTATTCTATTCTATTCTATTCTATTCTATTCTATTCTATTCTATTCTGTTTACTCTATTCTATTCTATTCTATTCTATTCTATTCTATTCTATTCTATTCTATTCTATTCTATTCTATTCTATTCTATTCTATTCTATCCTGTTTATTCTATTCTATTCTATTCTATTCTATTCTATTCTATTCTATTCTATTCTATTCTATCCTGTTTACTCTATTCTATTCTATTCTATTCTATTCTATTCTATTCTATTCTATTCTATTCTATTCTATTCTATCCTGTTTATTCTATTCTATTCTATTCTATTCTATCCTGTTTACTCTATTCTATTCTATTCTATTCTATTCTATTCTATTCTATTCTATTCTATTCTATTCTATTATNCTTTTCTATTCTATTCTATTCTATTCTATTCTATTCTATTCTATTCTATTCTATTCTATCCTGTTTACTCTATTCTATTCTATTCTATTCTATTCTATTCTATTCTATTCTATTCTGTTTACTCTATTCTATTCTATTCTATTCTATTCTGTTTACTCTATTCTATTCTATTCTATTCTATTCTATTCTATTCTATTCTATCCTGTTTACTCTATTCTGTTCTATTCTATTCTATTCTATTCTATTCTATTCTATTCTATTCTATTCTATTCTATTCTATTCTGTTTACTCTATTCTGTTCTGTTCTGTTCTGTCCTGTCCTGTTCTGTTCCGTTCTATATTCTATATTCTATATCAGTGATGGCGAACCTTTTAGAGACCGAGTGCCCAAACTGCAACCCAAAACCCACTTATGCATCGTCGGGTGCCAGGTGGGCGTGGCCCATTGGGTGGCTGCCGTGGTAACGGCAGACTGGGTGGTACTAAAAAGTTATAATAATAATAAAAATAATAAAGTTGGAAGGGACCTTGGAGGTCATCAATTCCAACTTTGCAAGATCTTTTTTTTTCCCCGTGAGAAGTTGAAATTGACTGATTGATTGAACCTTTTTTTTTTTTGCACTCAGCGGTGGAGGCCTAAAGCGAAAAGGTTTTATAAAACCCAGCTGAAGGCCTAGGACTGGGGCGACGGCGCGCGTGCACCATAGGTTCACCACCACTGTTCTATATTCTATATTCTATATTCTATATTCTATATTCTATTCCTTCCTTCCTCTTCCTTTCTTTCCCTCCCATCTCTTTCTTTCTTTCTTTCTTTCTTTCTTTCTCTTGTTCCCTTTTGCAACCTTTCTCTCTCTCTCTTCTCTCTCCTCTCTCTCTCTCTCTCTCTCTCTCACACACACACAGACACACAGACACACACACACACAAAACCTTTAGCTTAATCAGCTACCAGGAAGAAAATTTAAACCATGCCTTTCACATGTGTTGGAGCATTCACCGCTTCTGAAGGCATGCTGTTCCACATTAATTGTTCTCACTGTCAGGAAGTTTCTCCTTAGTTCCAGATTGCTTCTCTCCTTGGTTAGCTTCCACCCGTTGCTCCTTGTCCTGCCTTCAGGCGCCTTGGAGAATAGCTTGACTCCCTCTTCTCTGGGGCAGCCCCTGGGATATTGGAACACGGCTATATAATGAAGGGGATGCAAAGCTAAGAGTGAAACTTTTAATTTTGGTTTGAATTTTCTGCTCAGGTTCTTCAGATCAGCTCCTTAGCCCTGACTGTTGGAAAACATCTCTGAAAGCTTTGGGCTGCCCCAGCTCCATCCCAGCAAAGGAAAACGGAAGGAAAGAAATGGCTGACCCAAGCCTCCCCCTGCAGCCTTCCACGGAGCCAATTTTATCACCTGAACAGGTGAGCAACCCGTGTACGCAGGTTCGGTTACAAATACCACCTTAGACTGTCCGGGATTTAATAGTATTCAGTTTAGAAGAACCGCTGGAGACAACCCTTAAACTATTGAAAAGGATAGAAGAATTTGGGGAAATAGCAGGATCGAAAATAAACAGAGAAAAAAAAACCCAAAGTTGTAGTTAAAAAAACCTTACAGATAAGCAAAAAAAAACCCCAAAAAAAACCACAAACCGACAGAAAAAATAGACTTACAAATAGTTAAGAAAGTTAAATATTTGGGAATATACTTAACAGCAAGACCTGGAACGATAAAAGAAGATAATTACATAAAATTACTAAATCAAACTAAATTACAGTAGTGGCCAAAATTGTGGAAGGTTTGGTGGCTAATAACACCCCTTTTTTTGGAGTACCATAAAATTATATATCAATGGAAAGATAATTTAATGAAGAATGTAATGCAACCAAGTTTGTTCAATTATCTGTACTGTAGTCTATGAAAAGTTGTAGCCAAATAACCAGAAAAAGGAAGCACATCTTGCTTAGGTTGATCTCAGGTAGCTTTCCTTCACCTGATTGCAGCCAATGAGCACGAGTGTTTAGAGAGCCAATCAGGTGTCATCTTGTTTTGGCAATGAGCCAATCAGATCACGGTACGATTCAGTTATTGATGTCCTGTATTGAAGCTGAGAGGAGGACATTTGTCAGTGTGTTATGAGATTGCGGTCAAGTTGGTTGGGGTTTTTTTGTGTTCTTTCCTTTAGTGAGCTTGTAAAATGTAATAAAATTAAAGTAATGGTGCAAAGAGTTGACAGGTCGCCCAGAAAGCGATGCAAAATAATATTATTAAGTGAACAAGGCTACAGTTATAAAGAAATTAGAAGAAAAATGGGTGGAAACTTAACCAAAGGTGGCATTTCTATTGTACACTTTTCCCAAAAGGTTTTCCACAATTTTGGCCACAACTGTAGATTTGAAAAAAGAAAAAAAAACAGAGCCAATTTTATCACCTGAACAGGTGAGCAACCTGTGTGAACAGGTTCACTTACAATACCATCTGAGACTGTCCAGAATTTAATAGTAAATAGGGAAAGAGCAGGAAAAAAAAAAAGATTGTAAAATTCCAGCCAGGGGTTACGAAATAGGTCATAAGTCATCCTAAGTCAACCACAGAGAGTCCTTGACTTACAAGAGTTTGTTTAGTGACCGTTGGAAGTTACAACGGCACTGACAAACGTGACTGATGACTGTTTTTCACGCTTGCGACCGTTGCAACAAATGGGTGTCCAGTCTCTTCTTAAAAACTTCCAGTGTTGCAGCATTTTGGGCACGTACCGCAAAAGAATTACCCATCATGGCTGGATTAGCCATGTAAGTCCGTCGCTAATGAGTTGGGTCCGGGTGAGTAGCTGTCACCCCACAGCTAATGTCTACCTGAAGTTTTCTTCTTTTCTTCCCAGGTCATGGAGACCATAGAGTGGTTGTCCAACTACTTCCTCAAACTGCGGTTGTCTTCTCAAGACTATCGAAGTTTCGGACTGTTTTCCAAGTGGGCACCTTACGTGGCTCATGTCAGGCGTCTGATGCAGTATCTGCTCCACCGTCTAATTGACTCAAAAATGGACAGCTTGTCACGGGAGCCCGTAGGCAGCAACAGGGTGTTTGAAGGTAATCATGCAGCGGAAGTAGTTTGGTGTGCTGATCGTTGTCACGCTTCATTGAATCTCCCAACGAACACGAGGCAATTGGAGTTCCTTCTTTTTCTTTGAAGACGTTTCACTTCTCAGCTTCTTCAGCTCTGACTAGATAGAGAGATAGAGATAGATGATAGATGATAGATAGATAGATAGATACACATAGAAAGAAAAGAAAAGAATGATAGCAAATGGTTGATAGAAATAGAGACAGATAGACAGGCAGACAGGCAGACAGATAGATAGATGATAGGTGGGTAGGTAGGTAGATAGATAGATATGATAGATAGAAATAATAGAAATAGATAGATAGATAGATAGATAGATAGATAGATAGATAGATAGATAGATACACATAGAAAGAAAAGAAAAGAATGATAGCAAATGGTTGATAGAAATAGAGATAGAGACAGATAGACAGGCAGACAGATAGATGATAGGTGGGTAGGTAGGTAGATAGATATGATAGATAGAAATAATAGAGATAGATAGATAGATAGATAGATAGATAGATAGATAGATAGATAGAAATAATAGATAGAAATAGATAGAAATAGATTTGATAGATAGAAATAATAGATAGAAATAGATAGAGATAGGTAGATAGAGATAGATAGATAGATAGATAGATAGATAGATAGATAGATAGATAGATAGATAGATAGATAGATAGATAGATAGATAACCTTAATTGTCATTTTTACTGTGGGCACAACGGCACACATTAAAAATGAAATTTAGTTGCTTCCTCTTAAGTGTACACATACATAACACACATTTAAAACATCCTATATACAACATACGTATAGACTTACACCCTTACATATAAGTGATATATAAATATTAATCACTGTCCATCTTGAATACATAACGGAAGGAGGAAGCTTGAGAGTTCCCAAGGCTGATACTGTAAGGGACAAAACTGTGACTGAATCTGGATGTTCTGCTTCGGATACCACGGAGCCCCCTCCTCCTCTCCCCCAGAAGGTAACAAAGGAAAACAGGTTGTGGAGAGAGTGTGTACTGTCCCAGACTGTCCTGTGGACCCTGCTCAAGCAACGCTTCTGTGCCGTGTCCTGGATGGGAGGGAGGGAACTGCCGATGATCTTTTCTGCCGTCCTCACCACTCTCTGCATCACCTTCCTGTCTGAAGCAGGGATGCTCCCAAAGCAGACTGTGATGCCGTATGACAGGATGCTCTCGATCGTCCCCCTGTAGAAAGTGGTCAGGACAGGGGAAAGAAGACGTGCTTTTCTCAGGTGACACAGAAAATGTAGGCGCTGCTGTGTCCGCTTCACCAGTGTCTCACTGTTGAGCGACCAAGCCAGCCTACTCGTTAGCTGCACACCCAAGAATTTGATACTGGTAACCATCTCCACAGGTGAATCATTAACGCACAGAGGAGCGCGGCCATGCCTGCCTTTTCTGACATCGACAAATGTTGGGTTTTTCCCAGTATTTAAAACTAGTCCGTTCTCCTCACACCAGTTCACCAAACCCTCGACCTCCTTGCGGTAAGCACCCTCATTGTCGTCACGAATAAGGCCCAGTAGTGTTGTATCATCCATAAACTTCACAATATGGTTGGTGGCAAACCTAGCACAACAGTCACGGGTCAACAAGGTGAACGGCGGCGAGTTTTGAGTTAAAATGGAGTCTAATTTTTGTTTTTTGTTTTTTAATTATTTGAGTTAAAGTTTTTTTTTTTAAACTGATTGCTTTATGAGGTGTTGAATCCTGTTTTAGTTCTGGGAAGTCGGGGAGGGGAGGGGTCTAAGGGGAAATTATAAATTGATGTAGTAAATAATTATAAGTATATAATGGAATTGTAATAATAAGAGGATATTCCCGGCAGGTTCCCCAAATTGCACTCGATGTGGTGGTTAGACGGCGAAAGGGATGTAGAGTGGTAGGAGGAAAGAGGAGAGGTTGTGGGGTGAGGGGGAGGAAAGAGAGGGAAAGTGGATAAGGGTGGAGGCAAGGCGGGGACTGCCGGGAGTATTCGGAAATATTTTGAGTAAAAATCTTTTTTCTTTTGTGGTGTTTGTAGATGCATCATTTGTATTTGTTGTTTAATTCAAAATAATAAAAAAAATTTATATAAAAAAAAAACAAGGTGAACGGCGGCGGACGTAGGACGCAGCCCTGAGGAGAACCTGTGCTCAAGAAAAAGGATGGTGGGGAATGGAAGAATTTATACTCCTTGCACAGCCAAGAAGGCTCCGCAGCCATTTGCACCACTCGGGTGATCCTGAGGACACAGACAAACCTCCAAGTGGCCTCAACGACTCTCTAAAACAGGGGTGGTCAACCTTGGCTCTTTGATGACTCGTGGACTTCAACTCCCAGAATTCCTGAGCCAGCTAAGCTGGCTCAGGAATTCTGGGAATTGAAGTCCACGAGTCATCAAAGAGCCAAGGTTGACTACCCCTGCTCTAAAAGAAGGCAAATGACCAGCTGTCTGCAAGGAGTATAAATCTTTCCATTCCCCTCCATTCCAGTCAGAGCGGAAGAAGCTTCTTTTGGATGAGAAGCGAAACGTCTTCAAAGAAAAACAAAGAACGTCCAGTTTCCTCGTGCGAAAAAAGCACCTTTTGGGACAAGAATCTCCATAAATGTTTATGGAATCTCATAAACTGATCCTGGCCAGGAGTTCAAGAATCTGCCCAAATTTCGGTTCCAGATTTATTGTGCGTCTGTGTCCTTTATTTCAGGGCTTTTCAACCTTTTCACCCATTGTACCGCTTTTAGGATATGGCAATATCCGAGTACCACCAGTCGCCTAGCAAGGTGTCAAAAACTTGATGACCCCCCCCAAAATGAAAAAAGTGATAAAGTACAGGTAGTCCTCGACTTACAACAGTTCGCTTAGTGACTGTTCGAAGTTACAATGGCACTGAAAAAAGTGCCCCACAAGCCACAGCCGAGCAAGACGCCTGCCTGCCCGCCCGGCGGCGCTCTTCCTCCTGTCCGAGGTTTTCATTGTTGTGAGCATTTCTGTTGAGGATTGGCAGCAGGGGTGGGGTGGGGGGGTGTTTGGTTTTTATTCCCCCCCCCTGTCTGCTGGGTGGTTGCAGCAGGTTCTGGTCGCTTCACATGACCCTGGGACACTGTGACCGTCATAAATATGAATCACTTGCCAAGCCTCTGAATGTCAATCACAAGACCCTGGAGAGGCTGCAACATTCCAGCTGATCGGCGCTTCTTCTGGGCTCAGCACAAGCGTCAGGATCAGCGCCGAACTCCAGCCTGGCACTGATCCTGGCGCTTCCGCTGATCCTGGCGCTTCCGCTGAGCCCAGACAGTCCCGAAGAAGCGCCGATCAGCTGGAAAGCGGCACTGATCCTGGCGCTTCCGCTGAGCCCTGACAGCCCTGCAGCTCCAGCCGTCTCTCGCTCAGGCTTGTGCGGTGCTGCTACTGGTTCAGCTCATTCCCCTCCCCCGCTACCACTTTCCTAGGATGGTCGCGTACCACCTGCCAGGTGCCCATGTACCACAGGAGGTACCCCTACCACTGGTTGAAAAGCCCTGCTTTATTTGTTTGGTTGCTTGTTTATTAAATTTACACACCGCCCGTCTTCGCTGTTCGAAGAGATTCTGGGTGGCTTACGATGTAGTTTAAAAAAAAAAAGAGAGAGAGAGATCGAGATCAAAACAATTATAAATATAAAAACCAGGCAGATCGTGCATTCTGCCTAATGGTAAGAGTAAGCCTTGTGTCAACTCAAGGTTTATTCTCATGAAAGTAAGACAGGCTTGTTTGGCAACAGAGAAAAGAAAGCTAGGAGAAATTTTTATCTGCTCCTGTGTTGACCTTTTTGAATTCCATTAAAAAAAAGTTGAACATGTGCAGTTGGAAGCATTTCACTAGAAGTCTTTCTCTCTCTCTCTCTCTCTCTCTCTCTTCTTTTCAGCTTTGCATTCTCTATTTCTAGTGACCATTCAACTCTTCAAGCCGTGGCTTGAGGTTTTAGAGGGAGAAGAAACGAGGTAAGCGGGGAAGCTGTTTAGGAGGTTAAAGGAAATAGAACTGAACCTGGGATCTCCACCTGTTTGGCCGGATGGTGGACACACTGGAAATTTTAAGCACGTGTCCTTGGTGCCCTCAGAAAGGGGCCGTCATGGTGGGCTGAAATAGTCACAACATATTAGTGGGACCACTTGCCTCCAGAAGTTGTGGGTGCTCCAACACGGGAGGTTTTTAAGAAGAGACTTGGACAACCATTTGTCTGCAATGGTGTAGGGTCTCCTGCCTGAGCAGGGGGTCGGACTAGATGTCCTCCAAGGTCCCTTCCAGCATTGTTCTGATTGATTGATTGATTGATTGAAATGGTATAGAGTTTCCTGCCTGAGCAGGGGGTCGGACTAGATGACCTCCAAGGTCCCTTCCAGCTCTGTTCTGATTGATTGATTGATTGAAATGGTATAGAGTTTCCTGTTTGAGCAGGGGTTGGACTGGAAGACCTCCAAGGTCCCTTCCAGCATTGTTCTGATTGATTGATTGATTGATTGATTGATATGGTATAGAGTTTCCTGCTTGAGCAGGGGGTTGGACTAGAAGACCTCCAAGGTGCCTTCCAGCTCTATTCTGATTGATTGATTGATTGAAATGGTACAGGGTCTCCTGCTTGACCAGGGGCTGGACTAGATGACCTCCAAGGTCCCTTCCAGCTCTATTCTGATTGATTGGTTGATTGAAATGGTACAGGGTCTCCTGCTTGAGCAGGGGCTGGACTAGAAGACCTCCAAGGTCCCTTCCAACTTATTATTATTATTATTATTATTATTATTATTATTATTACTATTATTACTATTATTACTATTATTATTATTACACTTAGAGAGGGCTGTAAAGTTTAGGGCAGCATATAAGTCTACGTGCTATTGGCACCTAGTTATAAATCACTAGGTAAGAGCCATGGTGGCGCAGTGGTTAGAATGCAGCATTGCAGGCTAACTCTGCCCACCGTTTCAAGTTCGATCCTGGCTGGCTCAAGATTGACTCAGCCTCCCATCCTTCCAGGGTCAGTAAAATGAGGTCCCAGATTGTTGAGGACAATCTGCTGAGTCTGTAAACCGCTTAGAGAGGGCTGTAAAGCACTGCGAAGCGGCATATAAGTCTGAGTGCTAAGGGGCTGTTGCTCCTTCCATCCGCTGCATTCTTTGAGTCTACAGCCAGTTGCCTAAAGCAGAGTTCAATTAATGCTGGAATTGGGGGAAGCAGCCATTTAGCTAAAGTTGGTGCTGATCTGTCTCTGTCTCCCTCTGTCTGTCTGTCTGTCTGGAAAGCAAACATCGCTGCTATCCCTGGCTGGAAAGTGACGCCTCTCTTTCGTCGACAATGGTGGAGTTGTTTGCATCCAGCGTAGACCTCCTACACAAAAGTTTTAAAGGTAAGAAGATTGGAAACTTATCCCCTTTTCAGGGGTCCTTGGCGCTCTCTGAACTCGACGGCTTGGTTTTTTTGTTTTGTTTTTGCAGACGTTTCGTTACCAAGATAGGCGACGTCATCCATGTTAGAAGGGAGGGGCGTTTGGGAAGAGGAGGAGGGGGAGGACTGTGGGGTCCTGGGCGCTCTGTGAACTTGATTGCTTTTTTGCGTGTGTTTCCTTGCCATACTATGTAACAGCATCAGTGCTATAAGGGAGAGAGGGAGGAGGAGGAGAGGAAGAGGATTGTGGGGTCCTCGGTGGTCTCTGAACTTGATTGCTTTCTTGCAGACGTTTCATTGCCAAACTAGGTAACATCATCAGTGCTAGAAGGGAGGGAGGGAGGGGAGAAAAGGAGGAAGAGGGGGGAAAGGAGGAGGGGAGGAAGAAGACTGTGGGGTCCTCGGCACTCTCTGAACCCGATTACTTTCTTGCAAACGTTTCATTACCAAACTAGGTAACAACATCAGTGCTAGTTGAGTCTTAGCTCTGATGATGTTACCTAGCTTGGTCATGAAACGTCTGCCCAAAAAAAAAAAAAAGCCCACTGAACTCAGAGGGCACCAAGGACCCCCACAGTTCAAACCTAAACCAGAAATATTCTCCTCTTATTGATTATCCCCTCTAATTTAGCCTTTCCAACCTGGAAGTAGCAGGACGACACCTCCCCAAATTCCCACCTGGTGAGGTCTTTCAGGGAAGTTCTGGGTGAAGTATAGTGTAGGGGGTACCTGGCTCAATAGTAGTAACTGTGAGAGGGATCTCGGAGTCCTAGTGGACAATCCCTTAAATAGGAGCCAGCCGTGTGCTGCAGCTGCCAAAAAGGCCAACACAGTGCTAGGCTGCATCAACAGAGGGATAGAATCAAGATCAGGTGAAGGGTTAATACCACTTTACAATGCCTTAGTAAGGCCACACTTGGAATATTGCATCCAGTTTTGGTCACCACGATGTAAAAAAGATGTTGACACTCTAGAAAGAGTACAGAGAAGAGCAACAAAGATGATCAGGGGACTGGAGGCTAAAACATATAAGGAACGGTTGCTGGAATTGGGAATGTCTAGTCTAATGAAGAGAAGGACGAGGGGGGACAGGATAGCAGTCTTCCAGTATCTCAGGGGCTGCCCCAAAGAAGAGGGAGTCAAGCTATTCTCCAAAGCGCCTGAAGGCAGGACAAGAAGCAACCGATGGAAACTCATCAAGGAGAGAAGCAACCTAGAACTAAGGAGAAACTTCCTGACAGTGAGGACAATTAACCAGTGGAACAACCTGCCTCCAGAAACTGTGAAGGCTCCAACACTGGAAGTTTTTAAGAAGAGACTGGACAGTCATTTGTCTGGAATGGTCTAGGGTCTCCTGCCTGAGCAGGGGGTTGGATTAGATGACCTCCAAGATCCCTTCCAACTTTATTATTATTATTATTATTATTATTATTATTATTATTATTATTATTATTATTATTATTATTATTATTGTTATTGTTATTGTTATTGTTATTATCATCATCATCATCATCATCATCATCACTATTATTATTATTATTATCATCATCATCATCATCACTATTATTATTATTATTATTATTATTATTATTATTATTATTATTATTATTATTAAGGTCCCACCATCCCCACCATCTTTTAAGTCTCCTTCCCTCAATACGGAGAGGGTTCGGAAAGACCCCTTGTCGTATTCGGAGGGTCCTTCTTGTGAATTTTTTGTGTGTGTGTGTGTGTGCCTTTAGATTCCTCCAAGGCTGCTTTCGCTTTTTCCTGTTCGTTCTCTCTCTCTTTTTTAAAAAAATCTCTCTTTTATTAGACAAGGTTCTTCCCAGCGACCCGGGAGTCCTCTGGCTCCTCGTCATGCACTACAGCGAGTCGTACACGGCGCCCAAAATGCCGGAGCACGTCCTGCACCTCTTCCACACGGAGTTGGGCCGCCTGCCTTGGAAGGAGGTTCACCCGGATCAGCACCTGATGGAGAAATTCTTTAAGGTAGCTGCTCCTCCCGGCTGGCCAGGAGAGGGGGAAGGTGGGGAGGAAGGAATGGGGGGGGGGGCTCTCTTAAGATCCCGGCTTCGTTCTTGCTTCTGCCGATCCTCCCAGGCCCTTTTCTAATCTCTTTTGTTTGGGGACCTGTCCCTGGAATATAGGGGGGAAAAACCAGTCCAGCAAGGCTTGGTGGTGGTGGAAAAGGGTGCTTGGAAAGAGGAGCCGAGTAGAAAATCAGAGGGACGGGAGGATGAAGGTCTGAGGGTCTTCCTTCCTCTTCCTCCCCTCCCTCCCTCGCTGTTGTCCTTCTTTCATTCCTTCCTTCCTTCCTCCTGTCCTTCCTTCCTTCCTTCCTTCCTTCCTTCCTTCCCCCTTTCACCCCTTCCTTCCCGTTCTTTCACTCCTTCTTTCCTTCTTCCATTCCTCCTCCCTCTCTCCCTCTTGTCCCTCTTTCATTCCTCCCTCCCTCCTTCCTTCCTTCTTTCCTTCCCCTTTCACCCTTTCATTCCCCTTCTTTCACTCCTTCTTTCCTTCTTCCATTCCTCCGTCCCTCTCCCCTCCCTCCCTTCCTCCCTCTTGTCTCTCTTTCATCCCTCCCTCCCTTTCTTCTTTCCTTCCCCTTTCACTCCTTCTTTCTTCTGTTCCTCCCTCTCTCCGTCTTTCTAACCTTCCTTCCTTCCTTCTCTCCCTCCCTCCTTCCTTCCTTCCTTCCTTCCTTCCATCTTCCCATTCCCCTTTTCATCCGTCCTCCCTCCCTCCCTCCCTTCCTTTTTCCTGTTTTTTTGTCCCAGGTAGAAAGAGGCAGCCCCAAGAGTTGCTTCCTCTTCTTGGGCTCGGTGCTGTGTGAGGTCAACTGGGTCAGTGCCCTCGCTGACGCCTGGGATCCCGCCCCACCCCCGGACACCCACAGCCTGATCGTCTGCCTGCTCTACATGGTGGTCCTGCTGGCCAAAGAGGAAGAGCTTGTCACCAAAGAGGTGAGGGGAAAGGCTTGACTCCTGGTGGCTTCCGAGACACAATCGATGGAGTCTCCGTGGGGGCAAAGATGTTCCTCTCGAAAGAGGCCAAATAACACCTGTCCCAGGACGAGGTTGCAGGATCCAATCTGAGTCGGTTAGCAGGACCAAAAGTTTATTCTTCTCAGCTTTTGGGCTCGTCCTGCAGGGATATTCTCTCTCTCTCCAGCGTGTGTGCGCTGGGCTGTTTGAGCCGTTGTATTTATAGGCTGCCTGGTTGTGTGTATCTCTCAGTTGTTAATTAGGATGGGATGGAATGGAATAGAATAGAATAGAATAGAATAGAATAGAATAGAATAGAATAGAATAGAATAGAAAATATGGAATGGAATGGAATGGAATAGAAAAGAAAATATGGAATGGAATGGAATGGAATGGAATGGAATGGAATGGAATGGAATGGAATGGAATAGAATAGAATAGAATAGAATAGAATAGAATAGAATAGAATAGAATAGAATAGAATAGAATAGAATAGAATAGAATAGAATAGAATAGAATAGAATAGAATGGAATGGAATGGAATAGAAAATATGGAATGGAATATAGCATAGGATAGAATATAGAATAGAATAGAATAGAATAGAATAGAATATAATAGAATAGAATAGAATAGAATAGAATAGAATAGAATAGAATAGAAAATATGGAATGGAATATAGGATAGGATAGGATAGAATAGAATATATAATAGTAGAATAGAAATAGAATAGAATAGAATAGAATAGAATAGAATAGAATAGAATAGAAAATATGGAATGGAATATAGGATAGGATAGAATAGAATAAAATATATAATAGTAGAATAGAATTAGAATAGAATAGAATAAATAGAATAGAATTAGAATAAAATAGAATAAAATAGAATGGAATGGAATGGATATTGGAATATAGAACAGAATAGAATAGAATGGAATAGAATGACATATGAATAGAATAGAATAGAACATAGAACAACAGAACACAACAGAACAGAATAGAATTATGGGATGGAATAGAACAGAACAGAACAGAATAGAATAGAATTATGGGATGGAATAGAACAGAACAGAACAGAATAGAATAGCGCTGGAAGGGACCTTGGAGGTCTTCTAGTCCAGCTCTATTCTATTCTAGTTCTTGATCTCTTTGGCCCCACCCCAGTGCCCCCCCCAGTCCACCTGGAGCCAATTCGCTGGTGTGAAGATGTCGTGAGCTGAAAAGGTGATCACCGCTTCGTAGTGCTTTACAGCCCTCTCTTAAGTGGTTTAGAAAATCAGCATCTTGCCCGCCAACAGTCTGGGTCCTCATTTTACCGACCTCGGAAGGACGGAAGGCTGAGTCAACCTTGAGCCTCGTTAGGATCGAACTCCAGATTGTGGGCAGAGTTTGTCTGCAATGCTGCACTCTAACCCCTGCGCCACCAGGCCTCTGGTTGAAACTTCTGACTGAACTTCTGGTGACAATTGCGATTGCAAATGGATGGCCGAAAGGGCCGTGAGTGAAATGCCCCTTTCTCTTCTCTCTTCTCCAGCAATCTCCACTGCTCAACCTCCTGGGCCAGGCCAGCTCCCTTCCCTGGCAGCATGTCAACATGGCCTCCTATCAGAGCATCCTCGGTTACTTCAATAGCCACTACTCCCCCTCCATCCTTCTGGCCAAGGAACCGGCGGCTGAACTGGTGGTGAAGCTCTTGAAAGTGTCGGCCGGCTTCAGCACCTCGTTTGACAGCAGCCGGCACCCTGTAAGCCCTCCTCCCTCCCTTCCTTTTTTCCTTCCTTCCTTTTTTCCTTCCTTCCTTTTTTCCTTCCTTCCTTCCTTCCTTCCTTCCTTCCTTCCTTCCTTCCTTCCTTCCTTCTTTTCTTCCTTCCTTCCTCCCT